CCAGCAGACCCAGACCCAGACGCAGCAGACCCAGACCCAGACCCAGACCCAGCAGACCCAGACCCAGACCCAGCAGACCCAGCAGACCCAGACCCAGCAGACCCAGCAGACCCAGACCCAGACTCAGACCCAGACCCAGCAGAATCAGACCCAGACTCAGACCCAGACTCAGCAGACCCAGACGCTGCAGACCCAGACCCAGACCCAGCAGACCCAGACCCAGACCCAGCAGACCCAGACCCAGACGCAGCAGCCCCAGACCCAGACCCAGACTTAGACCCAGACCCAGACCCAGACTTAGGCCCAGACCCAGGCCCAGACCCAGCAGACCCAGGCCCAGACCCAGCCAAGGCAGGTCGCCGCCTTCCTGCCCCAAGCAACCGGTTGGGTCCCGCCTCCGGTGAACATTTGTCCCCAGGCCAGCGAAAGTGAATCAAGGTTATGGGGGGTGACGGGTGTCGGCGGGTCCCACTGGCCCAGGTTAGGGCGGAGGTCTGGGTGGCCCCCAGGGCACAACCCCGGGCACTCCCTGGCTCTCACTGCCTTGGCATCCCAAGCGGCAGCACCTGACGGGAACTTGGCACCTTCCCTCACTGCCTCCCGTTATGGGCGGTGAGAGACGGGCGGGACTGTAAAACTTGGTGGGTGTGGACAGCTCATCACACAGAAAAGTGAAATTAACTTTCAATTTGGTAAACCCTATTCAAGGCCTGGAGTTGATCCCACCCCCCACCCCCGTGTCCAAGAAAACAAAGTACTGATTCCGCCGCCACGCCCCACTCCTCAGAGGCACGTACCACACTTCCCCAGCCCCATCTCCGGAAGACAGTCGGCTATAAAAGCCCTCTAGGATTGCAAAACCGTCCGCGCGCTGCGCTGCGCTGCCTACGCTCCGGGCGTCCCCTCCTGAAGTCCAGCTGGGTCACTCGGCTCCAGTCCCCATGTTTCTCAACCGCCACGTGCTCTGGCTAGCGCTCTGCCGCCTGTTCTGGCTGTGGTGGCTGCTGCTGCTGCTGCTGCTGCTGCTGAGCGGCTCCTGTGTGCCTCTGGCAGGTGAGTCCGGGGGACCGGTGGGCGCGGACTCCTCACTCCTGGGGCCCGACCCCTCGGACACTTTATGCTGGGCTGCCGCCCTCTCACCTCCTGCTGGCTCATAGCGACCCTCTATGGGTATCCCAGACTGTCACTCTTGACGAGAGCAGAAGCCCAGTCTTGCCCCAGCAAAGCTGCCCCTGAATTCTAACTGCCGACCCTGTGCTTCGCAGCCCACCCCAGGCCTCCTGGCCCACCCGGTTAGGAGCCGGAAATGCAAAGGAAGCTAAAAAGTTGAGAACCAAAACAGAAGGAGTTGGAGGAGGCAGGGAGTTGGGCAGAGAGGGAGAAATGGGCTCAGAGACAAGGTTGGGCAACACAAGCCCTGATTTCCTGTCCCCCCACCGACCCACTCTGCAGCTGCCACAACTACCCTCAAAACATCCTATTCCCACCCCCACACCCTATACCCATCACCTCCACCACTACCCCCCACAACAACCCCCCCAAAACCACCTCCACCACATCACTTCCACCACCACCAGCCCCAATACCCAGTCACCACCTCCACCCTACCCCATCACCCACACCTCCCCACCACCCCACACTTTACAACCCGAACCCAGCACAACTCTCCTCCCCTCCAGAGGAAGCGCACAGTAGGTTTAGTCAGGAATGTCCCATCGTGGCAAAGTAATATCCGTGCAGGGATGCTAGGTTTCTGGGATCGGTTTCCCCAGTTCTACCATCTCAGCAGCGCTGAAAGAATGCATGAGCAGTAACACTTTTGTGATTGAAAGTAACTTGTATGAGTGAAGTGGAAGTTATGGGTAGCAGTCTCAAGTATTACATCAGCACATGCTGTCTCAGGACAGCCACCCAGTGAGTCCTGGGAAGGAGTTCAGATTCCTCACTCCTCTGGCAGCCCTTTCTCCTCTGGACACTTACTGCAAGAGTACACCACTGGAAATGGCTGTGATGGCTCCCAGGGAGCTTGGCCAGCCACATGGAAAATGGCCTGAAAGGAGAGCCCGAAATTGACTAAGAGAGCCAGCTCCAGAGAGAAGGGCCCATTAGTTTTCATTTAGCATAGACATCCAGTGGAGACAGCCCCTAACCTTCCTGCCTGTCAGGATCACACATCTATCTTCCCTTCTTTGCTCTCAGAACCTCAGTAAGGAACAGGGAAGACAGGGAAGGAGGAAGGCAGGTTTGGGGGGTTCGGGGTCATTGGCAACAAGAGGGTCCCTGTCTCTGCCAGCCGAGAGGTGGGTGTTTTTGGTGTCCCCAGGACTGGGTAGAGGGTGTCTGATGGGTTGTCTTCTCCCTACCCCACCCCTGACATGAAGTGCTCTCTCACAGATACTCACTCGCTGTGCTACAACTTCACCATCATGTTTAAGACCCCACCTGGACAGCCATGGTGTGAGGTTCAAGGCCAGGTGGATGGAAGGACTTTCCTTCATTATGATTGTGGAAACAACAAAGTCATAGCCGTGGGTCCCCTGGGGATGCAGATTAATGCCACAAAGGAATGGGAGAAACAGAGCGACACTCTGAGAGACATCGGGGATGAACTAAGACAGCTACTGGCTGACATGAAACTGGAGACGTACACAACAGAGGGTAAGTGTATGAAGGCCTTGTCCTTGGAGATTGAGTTAGTTAATTGTGCCAGCCTGGCTGATAATCACATGTGGTGCTTGTTGAAAGGTGGAGGGATAAATGGGTGGTGGAGCCTTGCCTTTCGAGTAAAAAAAAGAATTTATATAAATTGGACAACTAAAATTGGGGGAGATAAAGGCATGAAGCAGTTGGCTTACAAACTTTCAAAGGTAGGGGAAAAAACTCACAGGATTATAGGGTTAAGGTACAGGTGTTAATTGCAATTGTGAAGTTAAGAATTATATACAGGTGCCAGGTTGGCAAGGGGTGGATTGAGTTAGTTAATTGTGCCAGCCTGGCCGATAATCACATGTGGTGCCGGTTGAAAGGCGGAGGGATAAATGGGTGGTGAAGCCTCGCCTTTCTAGTTCTCGGGTCTCTTGTTTTGTGATGGTTGCATCGGGTGCAACTGCCTTAGCAGTTCCCTGCTTCAGCTTGCAAGATGGATTTCCTACAAGACATCCCCAAGGAGAAGCCGCATGGATCTATCCCGATGCAGCCCTGGGTGCTGGAACAGCCATGTGGAGACCCCTGCCAGTGCTGAGATGCTTACACGTTCACTGACTCAGCTTTCCTCCTGCAGTCGGCATTATTGCCTCTGTTTTGTGAGGTGAAGGACTTTGTGGACTGGTGTTGGGTTAATGGGTTAATGTTGGACTTGTGGGCTTGGGCAGCATTGGGTTGGGATGTTTTCGTGATGCACCTTTTCTTTACATAAAACTCTCTCTTATACGTGAGTCGCCGTGGATTTGTTTCTCCAAAGTACCTAGACTAATACAGAGATGGTCCCCCCAACTGGGGAGGGCAGGAGAAGAGCAGACTTGGGAGAATTGGGTGCTGTTAGTGTGTGTATGTTTTTAAAACTTGTATTCAGGTCCCATCCAAGAAGCCTCTCAGCAAGAGCCAGACTTGGAGGGCAGGCCTCGAAAGGAAGGGGACCAGAGGAGGTGATGCCACTGAGAATCTCTCCTAGGTGTGGACTGGGAAGTAATCTCTCCTCCGTGGGGGCAGCTACTCTCTCCCTGCAGGCCAGCATGAGTTGTCAGCGGGAAGCAGGCAGGCGCACCGGAGCATCCTGGCTGTTCAGTTTTGACAGACAGGTGCTTCTCCTCTTTGACCCCGAAAACAAGAAGTGGACAGAGGTTCACCGGGCAGCCAGACTGGTGAAAGGAGAGTTGGAGAACAACACACTTTTGACCAAGCTCCTCATGAGCACTTCACAGGGAGACTGCAATAGATGGCTCCAGGAGTTTTGGAGACACTGGGAAAAAATGCCGACAGGTAACTGTAGAGAGGAGGATGTGGGAGATCCCTTCTGGGGTGTGTGTGTGTGTGTGTGTGTGTGTGTGTGTGTGTCTTTAAGAAAGAGAGCCATTCTGCAAAGAGTAATGGACACAGGTATTACCATCTATCCTCCCTCTGCAAAGAGTAATGGACACAGGTATTACCATCTATCCTCCCTGCCCTTTCTTCCTTGCTGGCATCGACTCCTCACTGCCCACAGGTAGACCATTCACTGTGGATTCCTTGCTGGCCCTAAGCCGTCGGGCATCGTGATGTTTCCACAAATTTTCTTCTTAGCATTCCCTCTTCCACGATCACTTTTCTTGTCTTCTCCCTTGATCGGTTCAGTCACAGCAAGACTGACCTGTCATTCTTCAGCTGTGCTTCCCTCACAGAGGATCTGAGCTCCTGGAAGACAGGGCCATCCCGTATCGAAACAGGAGCCCTCACAGCAGCTGACACCCAGTAGAGCAGGAGCCAATGGGTGCATGAGCTGTTTTAACAGGAGAGAGGAAGGTGTCTCCTCTGGTTTGGGGTCTGGGCAAGGGCTTTCACCCTTCTGTTTCCCCTTCAGAGCCAGCACCCAAGGTGGAAACCACAGAAAAATCCAAGAACACAGCCAGCATACCAAAGCCCTGGACCCTCATCATGACCTTTGCCTTCACCTGTTCAACCCTACTTATTGTCTACAGCGGAGTCCTTTAGAATGACAGGTACTGTGGGCCCAGTTGAGAGGGAACAGGGGGTGGGTAGTCTGATATGAAGAATATGGGGTGCACAATGCAAATCCTACCCCTGCCCCAGCTGCTTAACCTTCTCACCGTGCATATGAGACATGACAAATACGTCATCCTATCATTCCGTAGGAATAACCAGGTCATTCAGCCCTGAAGACCGATAAAGCCTCACTGCCAAAGGTCTATGGGATAGGACAGGAGACCAGAGGAGAGTGCAGAGTTGTTGCCATGAAAGAGGGTTAGCAAGGCCAATTCTGGTACACTGGGGTTTCATTCCTTGAGGGTCCGCATGGGGAGTCACTGGGACAGCAGAAACACAAAGCAAGGAAGGTTCTCATATTTGGACAACATCTCATGAGCTCCTGATGGTGACCAGAGCAGAATGTGTCTTATCCCAGAAAAAGGAAGTTGAAAGAGTTTTGCATACCCATACCTTGAGCTCATGACTACATTTCCAATGAAAGTGGCTGAGGTGGCAGTACGGAAGCTAGAATGCTAGCAATGGAGACTGAGATGGGATCAGATTCAGAAGGAAGCCAGGTTTCAGAGGACAACCTTGTGACAGACTCCAGATCTGCCAGGACAGAGTGGACACAGGAGCTAGGTGGAAGCAATCGAGTCCAGGGTCAATGTGATAAGGGCAGGGACAGTAGCACCCAAAACTATGTTGCTACCACAGATGTGATTAAAAAAAATCTTTTTTTAAGTGGGAGAGAAGAAAGAGTGATGGCCTGTAGCATCACCCAGGATGAAAGGACCAGGATGCAGGCCTCCGTCTCTGGACAGGGCTTGTCTCTGGTCCTGGAGGCCTGCATCCAAGAGGAGAACAAGACCTTAGTAATGAAGCATATAGATTCAACCTCTTCTCCAGTTGTGAGGCCCAGCCTTCTATCACAGGCCTGGGGCTCACTCTGTCGATGCACTAGAGGGAGGAGGGTGGCTGCAGAATCTAGGGTGAGGGGGACAGAAAGGAAGTGCATGGGCCTTGGGCTGAGAAAGGCTCTGAGATGTGGAGAGACTGGGGAGGCAGAGCCCAGGACGACTGACCCAGGACTGCCTTAGAGAGAAGTGTTCTTGCTCCCCCCCATGCCCTCCCCAGTCTCCTCGCTCTCCAGTGCCAGGAACCCTACAGGATAGACCGTCCAAAGGATGACTTAGCCGCCCCAGGTGGGGGATCCCCTTCGGTAGATGGGACAGGAATCTCTCTCTCAGCCACGTTGAATGGGTGTGACTTGGAGAAGTCACAGGAGTTCTCTCTGTTTGGGGTGCTGGCCTCCGCGTGCTGCTCTTGGCTCCGAGGGGAGACACCGGCTCCTGGAGCTCGTCAGCGCAGGCGCCTCCTTAGCCATTGGTGTCTTCTGAGTCACTGACGAGACACCTGTCCCAGCTCAGTCCAAGCCCTGGCGGGTAAGTAGGACATTCGGTCTTCAGGTTCATTCTCCATCCCTTCCCGGTAGCGGAAGTGCTTCACAAGGTTAGTGGGGTCTCCAGAGTGTTTTTATACCCAAATAACACTTCCTTCTCTGATTGTTTTTAGGTGCCCTCCAGTCGGTTCTGACCCCTAGCGACCCTGTGCATGACCAGGTGGATGGACACAGTGACTGCAGCAGTGGTCTACCCCTTCCTCTGTTCTTCCTCGTCCCCTCACCGCTAGGCTTTTTAAATATGTGTTTTTATGAATATTTCATAACTAAAGGAACACTTATGTGTGGAAAAAAAATCTATTCTTACAAATATATATTATCCTGGTTTGTTAAAATAAATACATACTCTAGATGTTTAACCAAAAGTAGCCATAAGAGAAAAACAGAACAAAGTGTGAATGGTGAGTTTAGCAAGACGGTTTTCATTTCCGTCGGAATATTTTTCTATATTTCCCAAACTCTTATGACCCCATGGGCTAAGCATCGGACTGATCATTGAATGTCCATGATACAAAGCTGTCAGCCACTTCATGGGAGAAAGATGAGATGGTCTACTGTGTCCTGCAGGGCCACTCTCAGTCCAAGTGGACTTGATGGCAGTGGTTTTGGTCACCAAACAAAGTGGGGAGAATGGGGAGAGTGTGACACTGAAAGCAATGCTACCCCAAAAGGAGGGGGAAGCCCACTTCTGCTACGCTTCGTGCCCTGCACCAAGGAGGTGAAGGGCAGAAGACCCATTTCCTTATCACTGGAAGAGAAGCAGATAGTGAAAACCGGGGGCCAGATCCTGGCTCTGTTAGATCTCTCTGGAGCTAGATTTATACCTCGGTCCTTGGCTCCGCGCGAGAAAGAATTCACGCCGAAGCCTGGTTCGTGATCGAAGTGAGTTTTATGAAAGTTAGAAGAAGTTTCAGGTTTACACGGCACCCAAGGGGCTCCTCCCGGACACGCGGCCTAGCTGGAAGCGGCTCTGCGTCCCGCAAAGCGTGCCAAAGCTCTCTGCGCCTAAGTTCTCTCTTCCCGTCTAAGTTCTCCCTCCTCTCGTCTAAGTTCTTTCTCCTCTGTTCTAAGTTCTCTCTCCTCCGAGTTCTCTCCCCTCCCGTCTAGGTTCTCTTTCTCCCCTCTGGGCTTCTGCCTTTTCAAGGATTCCACGGGGAGGCGTGGTGGAAGACCCCTGATCGACCCCATTGGCTGAATTGAATTTACCTGGCTAGGTGATCCAATTCAAGTTCATGCCCACCCCTGCTTATCGGTGGGAACCCTGAGCATGTGCTGTGCACCACTCCTTTGTTTCCCTAGCTTGACCCTCTGGGCACGCGTTAATGGACATCCCCTAGTCCTATGCTGGCCTACCTAACAGCTCCACCATGGTTATAAAACAGAATGGCTTTTTACCTGTGGAAGGTGTTATGTAATTAAATCCTGTATTTCTTCAAAGAGTTTGCTATGATTTACTCAATAACAAGTACCTATATCAATTAAATAGTCTTAATAGTCCCAAGACCTAATCAAATTAATCCACCCTCACAAGAGTTTTTTGAAGTAAATGCAAACCTTAGAAGTAAAAGCTCACAAACAAACATAGATAGTATATCGAGTGTATTTTAATCATAGAAAAGATAGTATTTTGTCCTAAAGTAGAGGAGGCTGGATGTTCCAGAATGAAAGAGAAAGTTTAGGAAGAGGCACAGTGAGAGGATGGTTAGAAGGACGTTCAACAAAAGACTGAGAAGGAGAAGCAACATGAATGAGCAGGAGAATGGTAAAGATGCAAAGAAAAGGAATTCATTCCTCAAAATAAACTAAGCAATAGAAATACCTTTTGCCTTTCAAAAACAGCTAGGTTAACCTAACAAATGTGAATACACTGAGATTCTTCTTTTTTCAAATGAGCCTCAGCTAGAATCAGAGACACAATCAGGCCCCCGCCCTCTCAGGCCTGAACTTGCTCAATAATTCACTGATAGCTAAATTAAGTGAATGAATTGATGACAGTTAAAGTTCATAAACTCTTTTATAACCTGGAAAGAAAATGCATATATTTGGATGTGGCAATAAGTATGTTCCTCTAAGTATTTTCAGACTTGTGCGTGGTGTTACAGAGACAAGATCATAAAAGAGACGAGGCTCACTGGTTGGACAGGGATTGGTTGAACCTCCAAGACCATAGCATCAGTCGCCCTTCGGATCTGGAACCCAACTCACCCCAGTGTTAGAATCATCGGCCTTGTAGGATCAAAAGGGCAGCATATCCCCAAAGATAAAGTTCAGAGTGTGAGCAAGGGACACACAGGGAGGGAGGGGGTAAGTGACTGGCCCCCATAGGATTGCAATGGAGGCGCTGAAACACAAAGCATGGCAACTGTTGAATGGAAACCTCCTGATCTGCTCTGGAAAGCTTAGCCTCATTCACATCAAAAAGGGTTGTTTGAATTCAGAGATAAGGGAACAACAAAAGATGTAAAATTGATGGAGGTGGCAGTGAGGAGGGTACATAATGCCTGGTGGGGTTTAATCAAGTGCAGTGTATCTGAGAGGAATTACTGAGAGCCGAATGGAGGGTGACCATGGATTGGAGGAAGTTGAAAGGAAATAAAGCAGAGAAATAGGAGGCAAAAGCTATTTATAGAGGTATAACTATAGGTATGTATATATGTGAATATATTAATTTATAATGAAAGGGATAGAGGCCAATGTATATATATTTATATGTTACACATTAAGATAACAGACAGACTTTGGGCCTCTACTCAAGGCCTCCCTTAATACAAGAATACTTTGTTCTGATAACCTGGCACTCTTTGATACTTACCTTCCCAACACAATCACTGAAGACAAAAAGGGTGCATAAGCGAATGTGGTGAAGAGAGCAGATAGCCTGGCTATCAAAAGATATAGTGTCTGGGGTCTTAAAGGTTTGAGGTTAAACAAGTAGCCATATAGCAGGGAAGCAAATAAGCCCACATGGAAGAAGCACACTAGCCCTGTGTGATCATGAGGTGTTGAAGGGATCAGGTATCAGGTATCAAAAGAGCCAAAACAAACAACTATATTGATGTAAATGAAGGGGGTTGGAGTGGAGACCCAAAGGCCATCTGTCGACAATTGGATATCCCTGCCATAGAACAGTTATAAGAAAGGAATAATTCAACCAAGATGTTGTATAGTACCAATAATCCACACATAATTCCTCTAGTTTCTGAATGCTTCCACACCCCCATCCCCGAAGGGGACAAATAACAGAAATGTGGGTGAAGGGAGACAATGCGGACAGTGTAAGATGCAAAATAACAATAGCAATATATTATGGATTCACGAGGGCGGGAGAAGGAGGGAAGGAAGGGAAAGAAGAGGAGCTTTATACCAAGGGCTCAAGTAGAAAATGTATTGGGAACGATGATGGCAACATATGTACAAGTATGCTTGATACAATTGATGTATGGAATGTTATAAGAGCTGTAAGAGCCCCCAATAAAAAAGGGTTGTTGTTTAACTTATTGGAAGAATTTGTTTAATTAGGTCAAAGATTTTGGTGCTGTTGCTGCTGCTAAGAGTTTGGTGGATTAATTTCTGAGTTTTAAGAGTTTGATGTCAAACAGAAAAGAGTTGAGTGTCTCACTTAAGATAACCAAATGTTCTTTCATTACTAAGTTCAACAGTTAATTTTATTCTTTGGGCACTCTGCCTTAATGACAAGAGTTTGACAGGATAAATCCCTCAGTCAACAACCAAGCCTTGTATGTAGCTTTACAAAAATGAAAGCTTTTACCTTTAAAATATTTAGGTAAGTATCACTGAAAACAAAGGTGTGCATTAGCAAAGGTGGTGAAGAAAGCTGATGGTGCCTGGCTATCAAAAGATATAGTGTCTGGGGTCTTAAAGGCTGGAAGATAAACAAGCGGCCAACTAGCTCAGAAGCAACTAAGCCCACATGGAAGAAGCACATCAGTATGTGTGACCACGAGCTGTCGAAGGGCTCGGGTGTCAGGCATCAAGGAACAAGAAATCATGTCATTGTAAAAGTGGGTGAGTGCAGAGTGGAGACTCAGAGTCCATGGTTGGCAACCGAACACGCCCCTGCTGAGAGGTTTTGGGGAGGAGATGAGCTAATCAGGGTGCAGGGTAGCAACGATGAAACACATAACTTTCCTCTAGTTCTTTAATGCGTCCTCCCCCCAAATATCATGATCCCAATTCTGCCTTGCAAATCTGACTAGACCAGAGGATGTACATTGGTACAGATAGCAACTTGAAACCAGGATAGATGACTTCTTCAGGACCAGCGGTAAGAGGGGCGAGGACTGGAGGGTGAAGGGAATTCGTGGTAGAAGGGGGGAACCAATTACAAGAATCTAAGTATAGCCTCCTCCCTGGGGAATGGACAGCAGAGAAGAGGGCAGAGGGAGACGTCGGACAGTGTAACTTATGACAAAACTATAATACTTTATGAATTATGAAGGGTTCTGGAGGGAGGGGGGGAAGAGGGAGGGAGGGGGAAAATGAGCAAACGATATTGAGGGCTAAAGTAGAGGGCAAATGTTATGAGATTGATGAGGAAAACAGGTGTACATATGTGCTTGACTCAATGGATGTATATATGGACTGTGAGAAGAATTGTACGAGCCCTCAATAAAATAATTTTTAAAAAAGAATAATGAGGGTAACAAATGTACAAATGTGCTTTATACAATTGATGTATGTATGGATTGTGATGAGTTGTATGAGCCCCCAATAAAATGACTTTTAAAAAAATTTAGGTAAGTAACCCAAATATTATTCTTCAGTAATGTGTAATAAATTCATAACCACTTCAAATTTTATATGAAGTCAAGTTTCTGTTTTATAAAGAAGGAAAAAATATCTTAAAGGTTTATTTAATACGCAATGACTTGTAGCACATATATTCCAAAATGAGAAGAAGCGCTGCATTTTCTCTAAAGCTACAATTTATGTTAACAATATTGCCTAAGGAAGCTAATAACAAGGAGTACAAGAAGGAAGAAAAAATTTTAAACCTATTTTATTAGCAATTGCAGAACACTTGGTATGACTGAACTATTGAATTGTATGATGTCTGGATTATGTCCTAATAAACTGGTTTTAAAAATAAGTAAATAAAATAAAACATTAAAAAGCCTTCCCCCAAAGGCACAAATGAAATATTTACAAAAATTGACAAGACCATAAAATAAAAATTAACAAAGTTTTAAAGAATTGATCTCATTCGGATCACATGCTCAGACCACAATGTTATTAGCTTGGAAATCAATAATTTAAAAGATAATTAAAGCATTAAAATATACATTAGTAATAATTGCCTGACACTAGGCAGAAAGGCTCATGATATTATATCACAGTGTCATTAACACTAATTAATTACTAACCTGATTGCACCATTC